GAAACCACTGAATCGCTGCAATTTGGCATTTTCTTACCGAGTGGAAAACTGGACTGAGAACTTTATGCAACTATGCCAAGAATGTGCAGAGGTGAAAAAGGACACTAAATATTTATTTCTAATTTCCAGAAACCAGCAGATAAGCCAGGCTGTTCAGGGAAGTAACAGCCTTTCCTTTAACCCTGAGAATTTTAGGATCTGACTCAGAATCATAAAAAAAAAAAAAACTGGTCCAAGCCAAGAATGTCAACGAATCTGGACCTCAAGAGAGGTGGGTCCTTATTCCACTAGAACAAGAGGTCTCCAAAATTGGCAACTTTTAACACTTGCGGACTTCAATTCCCAGAATTCCCTAGCCAGCAGGGTCCTTGCTAGATTGTTGAGTTAGTAATAATAATAATAATGTATTTGTGGCTGTGGCTGGGAGGACCTTTGCACAAGTTCGTCTGTTGCACCAGTTGCGACCCTACCTGGACCGGGAGGCTCTCCTTACAGTCACGCATGCCTTTGTCACCTCACGTCTGGACTACTGCAACGCGCTCTACATGGGGCTACCCTTGAAAAGTATTCGGAGACTACAGTTGGTCCAGAATGCAGCCGCGCGAGTGATAGTGGGTGCTCCTCGATACACCCACGTTACACATATCCTCCGTGAGCTGCACTGGTTGCCTATTAGTCTCCGGGTCCAATTCAAGGTGTTGGTCATTACCTTTAAAGCCCTATATGGCTCAGGGCCAGGCTATTTGCGAGACCGCCTACTAGCTCATAGTTCCCTTCATCCGGTTAGGTCCCACAGGCTGGGCCTCCTTCAGGTCCCATCGGCCAAGCAGTGCCATTTGGCGGGGCCGCGGAGGAGGGCCTTCTCTGTGATGGTGCCCACGTCTTGGAACCAGCTCCCCCCGGAGATTAGGACCGCTCCCACCCTGTTGGTTTTCCGTAAGCTGCTTAAGACCTGGCTTTTCCGGCAGGCCTGGGGTTTATAAAATCTGATCCCTGGATGACTGTTATTGTACTGTTTGTTTTGTCATGTTTCATGGTGTTTTTATTGTTAGCCACCCAGAGTCCTGCGGGAGTGGGGCGGTTTATAAATTTTAAAAATAAATAAATAAATAAATAAATTTGTATAAAACTTTTCAATAAAAAAAAAATTGGAAGGGACCTTGGAGGTCACCTAGTCCAACCCCCTGCTCAGGCAGGAAACCCTAGACCATTTCGGACAAAGGGCTGTCCAGTCTCTTCTTAAAAACTTCCAGCGTTGGAGCATTCACAGCTTCTGGAGGCAAGGAGTCCCACTGGTGAATTGTTCTAACAGTCAGGAAATTTCTCCTTAGTTCTAGGTTGCTTCTCTCCTTGATGAGTTTACATCCATTGCTTCTTGTCCTGCCTTCCGGCACTTTGGAGAATAGCTTGACTCCCTCTTCTTTGGGGCAGCCCCTGAGATATTGGAACACTGCTATCATGTCCCCCCTCGTCCTTCTCTTCGTTAAACTGGACATACCCAATTCCAGCAACTGTTCCTTATATATTTTAGCCTCTAGCCCCCTAATCCTCTTTGTTGCCCTTCTTTGCACTCTTTCTAGAGTCTCAACATCTTTTTTACATCACGGTGACCAAAACTGGATGCCGTATTCCAAGTGTGGCCTTACCAAGGCATTGTAAAGTGGTATTAACAGTTCACATGATCTTGATTCTCTCCCTCTGTGAATGCAGCCTAGTACTGCGTTGGCCTTTTTGGCAGCTGCAGCACTCAGCTAGCTCCTATTTAAGGATGGTCCACTAGGACTCCGAGATCCCTCCCACAGTTGCTGCTATTGAGCAACGTACCACCTATCCCATACCTGTGCATTTGATTTTTCTTGCCTAAATGCAGAACCTAAAGCAGGGGTCCCCAATCTTTTTGTTTTGGTAGACCAGTGCCACCGGCAGCAGCTTCAGCAGCTTCGATGGGTGAGGGGGAACGGTTTCACACATGCAACTTAAATCACACACATGCACAAATGAAGCTTTGCATGCTTGCCTTCTACTTTGGTGACCCGGATCCTAATGGGCCACAGCCTGGTAGCAGTATAAACAGCCTGGGGGTTGGGGACCCTAAGTTAAAGAACTGAAGAAGCTTCTTGAGCGAGAAGCGAAACGCTTTTAAGAAAAAAAACTAAGAAAGTCCGGAAGCTTCTTGGATGAGAAGCGAAATGTTTTTAAGAAAAAAAAAACTAAGAAAGTCCAGAAGCTTCTTGGATGGGAAGCGAAACATTTTGAGGGAAAAAAACTAAGAAAGTCCAGAAGCTTCTTGGATGGGAAGCGAAACATTTTGAGGGGGAAAAACTAAGAAAGTCCAGAAGCTTCTTGGATGGGAAGCGAAACATTTTTAAGAAAAAAACTAAGAAAGTCCAGAAGCTTCTTGGATGAGAAGCAAAACATTTTGAGAGAAAAAAATTAAGAAAGTCCAAAAGCTTCTTGGATGGGAAGCAAAACATTTTGAGGGGAAAAAACTAAGAAAGTCCAGAAGCTTCTTGGATGGATAGTGAAACGTTTTCAAGGAAAAAAACCCAAGAAACTCTAGAAGCTTCTTGATGGGAAGCGAAACATTTTGAGGGAAAAAAATAGGAAAGTCTAGAAGCTTCTTGGATGAGAAGTGAAACATTTTGAGGGGAAAAAACTGAGAAAGTCCAGAAGCTTCTTGGATGGGAAGCGAAACGTTTTCAAGGGGAAAAAACAAGAAAGTCCAGAAGCTTCTTGGATAGGAAGCGAAACATTTTGAGGGAAAAAAACTAAGAAAGTCCAGAAGCTTCTTGGATGGGAAGCGAAACATTTTGAGGGAAAAAAACTAAGAAAGTCCAGAAGCTTCTTGGATGAGAAGCGAAACATTTTGAGGGGAAAAAACTAAGAAAGTCCAGAAGCTTCTTGGATGAGAAGCGAAACATTTTGAGGGGAAAAAACTAAGAAAGTCCAGAAGCTTCTTGGATGAGAAGCGAAACATTTTGAGGGAAAAAAACTAAGAAAGTCTAGAAGCTTCTTGGATGGGAAGCAAAAAGTTTTGAGGAGGGAAAAATAGGAAAATCCAGAAGCTTCTTGGATGAGAAGCGAAACGTTTTGAGGGGAAAAAACTAAGAAAGTCCAGAAGCTTCTTGGATGGAAAGCGAAACATTTTGAGGGGGGAAAACTAAGAAAGTCCAGAAGCTTCTTGGATGGGAAGCGAAACATTTTTAAGAAAAAAACTAAGAAAGTCCAGAAGCTTCTTGGATGAGAAGCAAAACATTTTGAGAGAAAAAAATTAAGAAAGTCCAAAAGCTTCTTGGATGGGAAGCAAAACATTTTGAGGGGGAAAAACTAAGAAAGTCCAGAAGCTTCTTGGATGGATAGTGAAACGTTTTCAAGGAAAAAAACACAAGAAATTCTAGAAGCTTCTTGATGGGAAGCGAAACATTTTGAAGGGAAAAAATAGGAAAGTCTAGAAGCTTCTTGGATGGGAAGCGAAACATTTTGAGGGGAAAAAACTAAGAAAGTCCAGAAGCTTCTTGGATGAGAAGCGAAACATTTTGAGAGAAAAAAATTAAGAAAGTCCAAAAGCTTCTTGGATGGGAAGCAAAACATTTTGAGGGGGAAAAACTAAGAAAGTCCAGAAGCTTCTTGGATGGATAGTGAAACGTTTTCAAGGAAAAAAACCCAAGAAATTCTAGAAGCTTCTTGATGGGAAGCGAAACATTTTGAAGGGAAAAAATAGGAAAGTCTAGAAGCTTCTTGGATGGGAAGCGAAACATTTTGAGGGGAAAAAACTAAGAAAGTCCAGAAGCTTCTTGGATGAGAAGCGAAACATTTTGAGGGGAAAAAACTAAGAAAGTCCAGAAGCTTCTTGGATGAGAAGCAAAACATTTTGAGAGAAAAAAATTAAGAAAGTCCAAAAGCTTCTTGGATGGGAAGCAAAACATTTTGAGGGGGAAAAACTAAGAAAGTCCAGAAGCTTCTTGGATGGATAGTGAAACGTTTTCAAGGAAAAAAACCCAAGAAATTCTAGAAGCTTCTTGATGGGAAGCGAAACATTTTGAAGGGAAAAAATAGGAAAGTCTAGAAGCTTCTTGGATGGGAAGCGAAACATTTTGAGGGGAAAAAACTAAGAAAGTCCAGAAGCTTCTTGGATGAGAAGCGAAACATTTTGAGGGGAAAAAACTAAGAAAGTCCAGAAGCTTCTTGGATGGGAAGCGAAACATTTTTAAGAAAAAAACTAAGAAAGTCCAGAAGCTTCTTGGATGAGAAGCAAAACATTTTGAGAGAAAAAAATTAAGAAAGTCCAAAAGCTTCTTGGATGGGAAGCAAAACATTTTGAGGGGAAAAACTAAGAAGTCCAGAAGCTTCTTGGATGGATAGTGAAACGTTTTCAAGGAAAAAAACCCAAGAAACTTTAGAAGCTTCTTGATGGGAAGCGAAACATTTTGAAGGGAAAAAATAGGAAAGTCTAGAAGCTTCTTGGATGAGAAGTGAAACATTTTGAGGGGAAAAAACTGAGAAGTCCAGAAGCTTCTTGGATGGGAAGCGAAATGTTTTCAAGGGAAAAAAACAAGAAAGTCCAGAAGCTTCTTGGATAGGAAGCGAAACTTTTTGAAGGAAAAAAACTAAGAAAGTCCAGAAGCTTCTTGGATGGGAAGCGAAACGTTTTCAAGGGAAAAAAACAAGAAAGTCCAGAAGCTTCTTGGATAGGAAGCGAAACATTTTGCGGGAAAAAAACTAAAAAAATCCAGAAGCTCCTTGGATGGGAAGTGAAACGTTTTGAAGGACAAAAACTAAGAAAGTCCAGAAGCTTCTTGGATGGGAAGCGAAACGTTTTGAAGGAAAAAGCCTAAGAAAGTCCAATTGTCTTTTGGAAAAAAAGCTCCTTTGGGACAGCCGTGACCTGAACGATGGAGAATCTCAAAGACACTGATCTGGGAATATCTCAGCAGCACCATTTCTGCCCATTGCAGGGGACCATAGCCCCCTCGCTCCCCTTCCTCTCTCTCACATCTTACCTGTTGGCTCCTTGGCTTGTAAGGGGAGCTGCTTTCCAGGTCTGCAAGGATGCTGGTCAAGGAGTCGATCTCCGCATCCAAGCTGGAGCGCCTCTCTTCCAGGGTCTTCCCACCGGAGTTGACCTGAGAAGAAACAGAAGGAGACCCCTTCAAAGGGGGCTTGGGAAAGGATTCAACGCAGGGGGAAGGTTGGAGATGTGGTCATGACGGGGAGACGTTTAGGAAGGGCCGAAGCTTGAGAGAAACCTGTAGCTCAGGACTGTCTGCCTGGTTGGTGTTTTCAAACAAGGTTTAGATGGGGTCTTCTAAAGACGAGTTTGTGAACTGTGGGGTGGTCCTTGGTGCTCTCTGGATTCTCTTGAAGACATTCTATTGCCAAACTAGGTAACATCACCAATGCATGGGTGATGTTACCTAGTAGGAGAATGAAAGCGGTGCAAGAGAACCACCAAGCTCAGAGAGCACCAGGGATCGCACAGTCCTCCTCCTCCTTCTCCTCTTCCCTGCCCTTTCTTCTAGCACTGATGATAGTACCTAGTTGGGTCTTGAAATGTCTGGAAAAAAATGACAAAGCTCAGAGAGCATCGAGGATCCCATAGTCATCCTCTTCCTCCTCCTCTTCCTCCTCCCTGCAACTCCCCCGCCTTCTAATGACAATGCTCAGAGAGAATCAAGGACCCCACAGTCCTCCTCCTCCCTGCAAACCCCTCACCCTTCTAGCACTGATGATGTTCCCTAGTTGGGCCATGAAAGGTCTGCAAGAAAGCAACCCAGCTCAGTGAGCACCCAGGACCCCACAGTTTTCCTCCTCCTCCTCCTCCTCCTCCTCCTCCTCCTCCTCCTCCTCCTCCTCCTCCTCCTCCTCCTCCATGCAAACCTTCCACCCTTCTAGCACTGATGATGTTCCCTAGTTGGGTTTTGAAACATCTGCAAGAAAACCACAAAGCTCAGAGAGAACCAAAGACTCCACAGTCCTCCTCCTCCTCCTCCTCCTCCTCCTCCATCATCCCTGGACTATAAAGAACCTCTTCCATGACTTTATGGATCTTGGCCCTGAGCAGAGGGTTGGGTTAGCTGAACACGAAGTTCCTTCCATGTTAAGATTCTACAAAGAGCGACAATCCTTGGCTGCTGTGATCAAGAAAATCTTGATTCCCTTGGGAAGGGAACCCATCCTCTCAGATTTGCAACTGTTTGGCCGTGCTTTCAATCGTTCATCCTTGCTTTCCACAATCCCTTATAAAGTGGCTTCTTAACGCAGCATTCACACACGGGCAAAGCCACATCCGCTCCCAGTGGGACTGGAAATCCCAGATCCTGGCAGGAATCCATGAACTTTTGGCCGCAACAGTTGGATCCTTTCAGTATTAGAGCAAAAACGGAAATCCTTAAAACCTGCAGGTGGGTTCCTGGATTAAACAGAGGATCCCATCTCCACCCTGTGGAATATTTCCCTGTTCCCATTTTAGCGCAGTCTTAGTGTAAATGTTCCCTTGCAGTTTAAATCTTTTATCTTACGGTTTTTGTTATGTTTTAAGCTGCCCATTTGAATTTGATAAATAAATGCAGCAAAAGAAACAAGACTTAACAGCGTTTAAATCAATCCCAGAACGAGATAAAAAGGGGCCGATGCATAATAAACAGGGTGGAGGTGGGATCTTACAATATAGAATAACAGAGTTGGAAGGGATCTTGGAGGTCTTCTAGTCCAACCCCTTGCCCAGAGAAGGGAATCTTATTTCATCTGGGTCAAATCTTTCCTTGGAAACCTCCAGTGACGGAGCACCCACAACTTCTGGAGGCAGGTGGTTCCACTGGTTAATTGTCCTCGCTGTCAGGAAATTTCTCCTTAGTTCCAGGTTGCTTATCTCCTGGATGAGTTTCCATCTATTATTTCTTGTCCTGCCTTCAGGGGCTTTAGAGAATAGCTCTTTCCTCCAGGAAAAGATGGAAGGCAAACGAGGTCCAGCCAGAAGATGATGATGATGATGATGATGATAATAGTAATAATAATAGTAATAATAATAATATTTTGCCTGCCTATCCCAGGTCCTGGGTAAGGACTCGATAGGTAGACAAAATGCCAAATCCAGTCTGAACATCTGGCTGACTGTGCGATGATCCATAATAATAATAATAATAATACAGGAGGCAGCAGGAAGAAAAAGTTGAGAAACCATTGAATCGCTGCAATTTGGCCTTTTCTTACTGAGTGAAAAACTGGACTGAGAACTTTATGCAACTGTGCCAAGAATGTGCAGAGGTGAAAAAGGACACAAAATATTTATTTCTAATTTCCAGAAACCAGCAGATAAGCCAGGCTGTTCAGGGAAGTAACAGCCTTTCCTTTAACCCTGAGAATTTTAGGATCTGACTCAGAATCATAAAAAAAAAAAAACTGGTCCAAGCCAAGAATGTCAACGAATCTGGTGGGTCCTTATTCCACTAAAGCAGAAGGTCTCCAAAATTGGCAACTTTTAACACTTGCGGACTTCAATTCCCAGAATTCCCCAGCCAGCAGGGTCCTTGCTAGATTGTTGAGTTAGTAATAATAATAATAATGTATTTGTGGCTGTGGCTGGGAGGACCTTTGCACAAGTTCGTCTGTTGCACCAGTTGCGACCCTACCTGGACCGGGAGGCTCTCCTTACAGTCACGCATGCCTTTGTCACCTCACGTCTGGACTACTGCAACGCGCTCTACATGGGGCTACCCTTGAAAAGTATTCGGAGACTACAGTTGGTCCAGAATGCAGCCGCGCGAGTGATAGCGGGTGCTCCTCGATACACCCACGTTACACCTATCCTCCTTGAGCTGCACTGGTTGCCTATTGGTCTCCGGGTCCAATTCAAGGTGTTGGTTATTACCTTTAAAGCCCTATATGGCTCAGGTCCAGGCTATTTGCGAGACCGCCTACTACCTCATAGTTCCCTACGTCCTGTTAGGTCCCACAGGCTGGGCCTCCTTTAGGTCCCGTCGGCCAAGCAGTGCCATTTGGCGGGGACGCGGGGGAGGGCTTTCTCTGTGATGGCGCCCACGGAACCAGCTCCCCCCCCCGGAGATTAGGACCGCTCCCACCCTGTTGGTTTTCCGTAAGCTGCTTAAGACCTGGCTTTTCCGGCAGGCCTGGGGTTTATAAAATCTGATCCCTGGATGACTGTTATTGTACTGTTTGTTTTGTCATGTTTCATGGTGTTTTTATTGTTAGCCGCCCAGAGTCCTGCGGGAGTGGGCGGTTTATAAATTTTAAAAATAAATAAATAAATAAATAAATTTGTATAAAACTTTTCAATAAAAAAAATTGGAAGGGACCTTGGAGGTCACCTAGTCCAACCCCCTGCTCAGGCAGGAAACCCTAGACCATTTCGGGCAAAGGGCTGTCCAGTCTCTTCTTAAAAACTTCCAGCGTTGGAGCATTCACAGCTTCTGGAGGCAGGTTGCTCCACTGGTGAATTGTTCTAACAGTCAGGAAGTTTCTCCTTACAGGCAAAAAATATCATTTGCCTGTAAGCAAAAACTGGTGGGATCATAAAATAGAGAAAGTCATAGAAAATGATAAAATTAAACTGCTCTGGGACTTCAGAATTCAAACAGACAAGCACCTGCAACATAACACCCCAGACTTAACAATTGTCGATAAGAAAGACAAAAAAGTCTGGATAGTGGCAGTGCCTGGAGATAGCAGAATAGAAGAGAATAATAATAATAATAATAGTGGTAAAGTTGGAAGGGACCTTGGAGGTCATCTAGTCCAACCTCCTGCTCAGGCAAGAAACCCTAGACCATTTTGGACAAATGGTTATCTAGTCTCTTCTTAAAAACTTCCAGTGTTGGAGCATTCACCGTTTCTGGAGGCAGGCAGTTCCACTGGTTAATTGTTCTCACTGTCAGGAAGTTTCTCCTTAGTTCCAGCTTGCTTCTCTCCTTGCTTAGTTTCCACCCGTTGCTTCTTATCTATTTATTTTATTTATTTATGAGACTTATATACCGCTTTAAGTGCAAGCACTCTCTAAGCGGTGTACACCAGTAAGCAATGTATATATATATTTACATTGCCCCCAACAATCTGGGTCCTCATTTTACCTACCCTGGAAGGATGGAAGGCTGAGTCAACCTTGAGCCGGTGAGATTCGAACCGCTGACCTGCTGAACACAGTCAGCTAAAGTGGCCTGCAGTACTGCACTCTAACTGCTGCGCCACCTCGGCTCTTGTCCTGCCTTCAGGCGCTTTGGAGAACAGCTTGACTCCCTCTTCTTTGGGGCAGCCCCTGAGATACTGGAACACTGCTATCAAAATCTAAGGGACTGATTTGGACAAAACTCAGCAGCCCTTTTTCGTGTGGCTGCTGATAAAAACAGGATCGCCAACATGATCGCCAACGTCCGATAACGGATAGGGCACAAGAAGAAGAAGAGCATGGGGGATACTGCAACGGTCGTGTGAAAAAAGTCAACTTTTTAACTTTGAGTGATCACTAAAGGAACTGTCATAACTCGAGGACTACCTGGGAATGAATTTTTTTTTTGGGGGGGTGGCTGTTTCCTGGTCCTTTGCATCCCGACTGAGGCCTCCTCCATGTTCCCCGCAGCTCCTGCAGGAGATTCTAGAGCCAGTGTTTCTCAACCTTGACCATTTTAAGGCATGTGGACTTCAACTCCCAGAATTCCACAGCCAGCAACGCTGGCTGTGGAATTCTGGGAGTTGAAGTCCACATGCCTTAAAATGGTCAAGGTTGAGAAGCACTGTTCTAGACAGCTCTTCCCAAGAAGCAGAGAGAAGCCGGCCCCTTCCATTCCTTTCCAATTAATCAAATTACAGCCCAGAGCTGATTACCGATAATTACAGCCATTTCCCCTTCCGACTGCTTTGCCCGATGCCATCCTCGCCTTCGTCTGGGGAAGACGTGAATTAAGGTTTAATGAGGGCTTGGATAAGAATTCACAGGCTGGGTGGCAACCTGGCACACCGAACAAAGGCAGGGGGAGGGAGGCTTGGCAAGCAGGAATCCGACGTCCCTGGAAATGCGCAGCCTGGCAGAGTGGCATGCCGAGGGCGGCCAAGAACAAAATCCCAGCATTGCAGCCAATGCTCAATAGTAGTAAGTGAGAGAGGGACCTCGGAGTCCTAGTGGACAATCACCTAAATAGGAGCCAGCCGTGTGCTGCAGCTGCCCAAAAGGCCAACACAGTGCTAGGCTGCATTAACAGAGGGATAGAATCAGGATCACGTGAAGTGTTAATACCACTTTACAAGGCCTTGGTAAGGCCACACTTGGAATACTGCATCCATTTTTGGTCACCGCAATGTAAAAAAGATGTTGAGACTCTAGAAAGAGTCCAGAGAAGAGCAACAAAGAGGATCAGGGGACTGGAGGCTAAAACATATGAGGAACGGTTGCTGGAATTGGGTATGTCCAGTTTAACGAAGAGAAGAACAAGGGGGGACAGGATAGCAGTGTTCCAGTATCTCAGGGGCTGCCCCAAAGAAGGGGGAGTCAAGCTGTTCTCCAAAGCCCCTGAAGGCAGGACAAGAAGCCACGGATGGAAACTAAGCAAGGAGAAGCAACCTAGAACTAAGGAGTAATTAAGTGACAGTTAGAACAATTAACCAGTGGAACTCCTTGCCTCCAGAAGTTGTGGTTGCTTCAACACTGGAGGTTTTTAAGAAGAGACTGGACAGCCATTTGTCTGAAATGGGATAGGGTCTCCTGCCTGAGCAGGGGGTTGGACTAGATGACCCCCAAGGTCCCTCCCAACTTTATGATGATGATGATGATGATTAGGGGACTGGAGGCTAAAACATACAAGGAACAGTTGCTGGAATTGGGGATGTCCAGTTTAATGAAGAGAAGGATGAGGGGGGACAGGATAGCAGTATTCCAGTATCTCAGGGGCTGCCCCAAAGAAGAGGGAGTCAAGCTGTTCTCCAAAGCGCCTGAAGGCCGGACAAGAAGCAACGGATGGAAACTCACCAAGGAGAGAAGCAACCTGGAAGTAAGGAGAAAATTTCCCACAGTGAGAACAATTAACCAGTGGAACTCCTTGCCTCCAGAAGTTGTGGTTGCTTCAACACTGGAGGTTTTTAAGAAGAGACTGGACAGCCATTTGTCTGAAATGGGATAGGGCGGTGTTTCTCATTGCTGGCTGTGGAATTCTGGGAGTTGAAGTCCACATGCCTTAAAATTGTCAAGGTTGAGAAACACTGGGATAGGGTTTCCTGCCTGAGCAGGGGGTTGGACTAGATGACCTCCAAGATCCCTTCCAACATCATCATCATCATCATCATCATCATCATCATCATCATCATCATCATCATCATCATCATTATTATTATTATTAACTCCTCAGGCCCACAAGTTGGGTACCCCTTCTGTACGTGCGATTCAAGCTTTTTCCAACTTGTTCTGAATTGCGGTGGCCAAAGGTTCAGGAGAAGAGCTCCAGAACGAGATGCCCTTCTAAACCTGCAGCCAGACTCCTGCTGCACTTTCTTCATGGGTCTGCCTTTGGAGACCCACTTGCAAGCTGGTTGCTGATTGGTGAGGATCCCTACGATCCCACCCCCCCCGGGGTCCGCTCTGCACGTTCTGCACTAGGGGGAGCCCTCGACGTACACCCACCATTGAATCCAAAATTTCTGTTGCTAGCTAAGCAAAACGATTGCAAAATCTCCTTTGCCCCATTTTACAACCTTTCCTGCCTCGTCGTTAAGTGAGTCACTGCAGCTGTTCAAACAGTAACACTGTTGTGAAGTGAATCTGACTTCCTCGTTGACTTTGCTGAGCCCGGAACTCTGCCACTGTCATAAATACGAGTCACTTGCTCTTCCCAACGTCTTCTGGAGTGCTTCTGGGATGTCAGTATCCACCATCGTTATGATGGTTTACGACGATGGTGGCTATTGTTGGGTTTGGCCCTAAGAGTTCTTTGCAGAATTGGCTGTTTCCTCCATTTCTGAGTTAAATCCCTCTATTTGTTCATTTAGATCACAATCAATATTTTATTATCGGTCCTTTCTTGAAATTTATCTTCCCGGAACCCACAGGATTCTGGCTATTGGGCGACAGGATGTTTTAATAAATCACAATATGCCACCAGTTGTGCTTTGTGACTCCTTCACCTGCCAAATATGCTCCTTGCTGGGTGGGAAAAAAAAACCCATTTGGGAATTAAAAAGGGAAGAAGCATCACTTCACAACTGATTGTGGATTTGTGGCAAACCTTGGCAACATGGAGCAACAATAGCCTGTTAGCAGATTTGGCGAGGTTGTGTGGGACCCACAGAAACATACAACCCCATTAGCTCGCTCTTAGCCTGGTCTACTTTACAGGGTTGTTGTTAGATGGGAAAATGGGAGGAGCTTCTAATCAAAGAGAGAAGCAACCTGGAACTAAGGAGGAATTTCCTGACAGTTAGAACAACAGTGGAACTCCTTGCCTCCAGAAGTTGTGAATGCTCCAACACTGGAAGTTTTCAAGAAGAGACTGGACAGCCCTTTGTCTGAAATGGTACAGGGTTTCCTGCCTGAGCAGGGGGTTGGACTAGATGACCTCCAAGGTCCCTTCCAACTTTATTATTAGTATTTGTCTGAAACGTGGAATCTGAATCTAACCAATAAGTAACAGGTACTCCTCACCCTACGGCCGCAACTGAGCGCAAAAGTTTTGTTGCTAAGTGAAACGCTCGTTAAGTCAGTTTTGCCCCATTTTGCGACCTTCCCTGCCACTGTTGTTAACTGAATTGCTGCCGTCGTTAAGTGAGTCGCACGGCCGTTAAGTGAATCTGGCTTCCCCCTTGACTTGGCTTGCCGGAAGGTCACAAAAGGAGATGACGTGATCCCCGGGACATGGCGTTGTCATAAATACAAGTCAGTTGTCAAGTGTCCCAATTTGGATCAGTGCAAGGACGATCCCAGTGCATCATAAGTGCAAGGACTTGTCCAAAGTCGCTTTTTTCATTGCCCTTGTAACTGTGAAAGGTTGCTGAACAAATGGTTGTAGTCCTCGACTCACAACGCTTCATTTAGTGACCGTTCAAAGTTACAAGGGCAATGAAAAAAGTGACTTAGGACTGTTTTCCCCACACTTACGACCATTTGAACAAGGTTGTTAAGGGAATTGGGCTTCCCCCCATGGATGTTGCTAGACAGAAGGTCGCGAAAGAGGATCACGTGACCCCCCCCAGGGACGCTGCGACCGTCATAAATATGAGTCAGTTGCCAAGTGTCTGAATTTTGATCAAGTGACCCCAGGGAGGCTGTGATAATCATTAAGTGTGAAAAACACTCATTGGTCACTTTTTCCAGTGCCGCTGCAACTTTGAAGGGTTGCTAAGCGAAGCGTTGTAAATTGAGGACCAGCCACATTTGATTCTTCCTCTCCTCTCCACCAATCTCACTGGAGATCTTTAAGGAAAGACTAGACCAGGGGTAGGCAACCTTGGCTCTTTTATGACTTGAGGGCTTCAACTCCCAGAATTCCTTAGCCAGCGTGGGGGAACTGTGGCCACCTCATTGCTCGTGGACTTCAACTCCCAGAATTCCTCACCAGCATGGGGGAACTATGGCCCCTTCATGACTCGTGGACTTCAATTCCCAGAATTCCTGATCCAGCATGGGGGAACTGTGGCTCCCTCATGACTCGTGGACTTCAACTCCCAGAATTCCTCAGCCAGCATGGCTCAGCTTGGAAACCGCTCCCTTTCCCCTCAGCGTGGCTGGCTCAGGAATTCTAGGAGTTGGAGTCCATGAGTCATGAAGGGGCCATAGTTCCCCCATACTGGCTCAGGAATTCTGGGAGTTGAAGTCCACCAGTCATAAAGCGGCCTAGGCCTAGGGCAGGGGTAGGCAACTTGGCTCTTTTATGACTCGTGGACTTCAACTCCCAGAATTCCTGAACCAGCATGGCTCAGCTTGGAAACCTCTCCCTTTCCCCTCAGCATGGCTGGCTCAGGAATTCTGGGAGTTGAAGTCCACGAGTCATAAAAGAGCCAAGGTTGCCTAGGCCTGATCTATACCAAAACCAGGGGTGGGCAACTACAGTCCTGTGGACTTCAACTCCCAGAATTCCCCAACCAGCCATGCTGGCTCAGGAATTCTGGGAGCTGAAATCCACCAGTCATACAAGAGCCAAGATTGCCTACTCCTGGCCTAGATAATCACACGTCTGAGATGGTGTAACTTCTCCTGCTTAAACGGGGGGGGGGGGGGTTGGGGAGGGGCTGGACTAGAAGACCTCCAAGATCCCTTCCAGCTCTATTCTCTTCGTCTCCCGGGACTGTCCCTCCTTACCTGGAGGTTGGAAAAGGCTTCATCCGGAGGAGGGGGCGGCAGGAAGGACCCCGTGGCTGGCGAGAAGCCCCCCAGGTGGTCTGCCGAGGGGGGAGGCGGTGGGGGCGGAGGGGGGGGAGGCGGGAAGTCACCTGGATGGGAAGAAAAAGAAGACAAAGACCGTCTGAGTCTCGGACAAAGCAGCAGTTTATTTATTATTTACTGAGAACATTTGCATGGCTACCCAAGTTGTCCCTCCGGGTGCCTGGCAGAAATAAAAGAAAATAAAAATAATACAAGCTAAGGTTAAGATAAAGATGACATGAAAAAATAAGATTGAGATTGAGATTAAGATAAAGTAGAGATAGAGATTAAGATAAAATGATAAGATTGAGATTGCGATGAAATCGTGGGCGCTCCATCGCTGGATGTTTTTAAGAAGAGACTGGACAGTCACTTTTCTGAAATGGTATAGGGTTTCCTGCCTGAGTAGGGGGTTGGACTAGATGACCTCCAAGGTCCCTTCCATCTTCTATTCTATTCTGTTCTATATTCTATATTCTATAGTCTATTGTATTCCATTCCATTCTATATTATATTCTCTGTTCTGTTCTATTCTATTCTATTCTATTCTATTCTATTCTATTCTAATTCTTATTCTTATTCTCTTTTCTATTGTATTCTATTGTATTGTATTGTATTGTATTCTATTCTATATTCTATATTATTCTATTATATTCCATTCCATTCTATATTATATTCTCTATTCTATTCTATTCGATATTCGATATTCTATTCTGTATTCTTATTCTTATTCTTTATTCTATTCTATTTATTCTATTCTATTCTATATTATTCTATTATATTCCATTCCATTCTATATTATATTCTCTATTCTATTCTATTCTATTCTATTCTATTCTATTCTATTCTATTCTATTCTATTCGATATTCGATATTCGATATTCTATTCTGTATTCTTAAGGATTCTGGCCTTTGGTTAACAACTACCGTGGAAAAGGGTGGCTGTGCCTCAACATAAGTCGAGGAGTACCTGATGGGGCGATTTCCTGATGGGGGGAGCTGCTTTCTGGGGAAGGAAGGAAGGGAGGAAGGAAGGAAGGAAGGAAGGAGATGGAAATGGGAGGGAGGGAGGGAGGGAGGAAGGAAGGAAAGAGATGCAAGTGAGAGGAAAGGAAGGAGAAAGGAAGGAAAGAAGGAAGGAGATGGAAATGAGAGGAAGGAAGGAAGGAAGGAAGGAAGGAAGGAAGGAAGGAAGGAGATGGAAATGAGAGGGAGGGAGGGAGAAAGGAAGGAAAGAAGGAGATGAAAATGAGAGGAAGGAAGGAAGGAAGGAGATGGAAATAAGAGGGAGGGAGGGAGGAAAGGAGGAAGGAAGGAAGGAAGGAAAGAAGAGAGAGGAAGGGGAGAGGGGGGGAAAAGCATGAAAGGAGAATTGATATTGTATCCCAGAGAACGAATGCTCTGCCTTGTCCCCCCCCCCCCTGGCTGCTGGGTGGGCAGAGGGGAAGGGGGGGGGGATGAGACCCTTGCCTGCTGGACAGGCCCTGCTCCTTCTTTTCCCCACAAGGATCCCTTTGGAGGTCATCTCAAGGCGGAAGCCAACAGGAAATCAGCCCCTTTGGGGGCAGACGGAGGAAAACGCTTGCGCCCTTCCTCCACTTTTCTGTTTGCGAGGAGTGATGCCAAGGAGGAGAAGGAGAAGGAGAAGGAGGAGGAGGAGGAGGAGGAGAAGGAGAAGAAGAAGAAGAAGAAGAAGAAGAAGAAGAAGAAGAAGAAGAAGAAGAAGAAGAAGAAGAAGAAGAAGAAGAAGAGGAGGAGGAGGAGGAGGAGAAAAAGAAGAAGAAGAAGAAGAAGAAGAAGAAGAAGAAGAAGAAGAAGAAGAAGAGGAGGAGGAGGAAGAGGAGGAGGAGGAGGAGAAGAAGAAGTAGTAGTAGTAGTAGAAGAAGAAGAAGAAGAGGAGGAGGAGGAGGAGGAGGAGGAGCGATGCCAAGGGATGTGCCCGGCGGGCTCTTCATCGCCTTGGTGATCTCAAGTTGGTTGGGAGCCTCACAAGCTCAAGGCAAAGAGTCTGCACTGCAAGAGGGTGTGTGTTTGTGTAATATTAGCCCCCCCCCCCCGCTCTGCCAGACCGTGAATCACCCATCTGGCTGCACAAAAGCACCGCTCAACAAGCAGCCAGCTTTTGTCTGCCATTCAGCCAGGCCAGAGGCCGGCAGTTGTGGATCCTCCAGGTGCCACGTGCCCAGCCCGGTGCGGACAGCTGGGCTCCCTTTCCCTGATCCACATGGGATCCACACCCGGGCCGTGGTCTGGAGGGGTCCCTCCCACCGGGGGTGATGATCACCGGCTCCTGGCAAGGCGCCCCACGTTGCACAGGGTGGTCCTGCCACCGATGCACCGATGCGGTGCGAAAGGGGAAAGGAACAAGGAAAAGAAAGAGGAAGCAGAGCGATGATCCATTTGGCGGCCAATGGGGGAGATCCAGGGGATCCCGGATCCCTTTTTCCAGCATGACCCCAAGAAATGGGTGGATTCGGGAATTAGATTGAACCTGTTGCTCAATGGACCGATTACAGCTTAATGGGAGGGCTGAGTACCTGAAAGACGTACAGATGGTGGAGGGATGGATGGATAAGGAAGATAGGAATAGAAAGGAAGGACATGGGAAAGAGGGAGGGAGGGAGGGAAGAAGGAAAAGGACAGAAGATAAGGAAAGCAAAGAAATGGGAATGAGAAGAAAGAAAGAAAGAAAGAAAGAAAGAAAGAAAGAAAGAAAGAAAGAAAGGAAGGAAGGAAGGAAGGAAGGAAGGAAGGAAGGAAGGAAGGAAGATAGGAAAAGCAAGGAAATGGGAATGAGAGGAAGGAAGGGAGGAAGGAAGGAAGATAGGAAAAGCAAGGAAATGGGAAGGAAGGAAGGAAGGAAGGAAGGGGAAGGAAGGAAGCAAGGAAATGGGAATGAGAGGAAGGAAGGAAGGGGAAGGAAGGAAGATAAGAAAAGCAAGGAAATGGGAATGAGAGGAAGGAAGGAAGGAAGGAAGATAGGAAAAGCAAGGAAATGGGAATGAGAGGAAGGAAGGAAGGAAGGAAGGAAGGGGAAGGAAGGAAGATAAGAAAAGCAAGGAAATGGGAATGAGAGAAGGAAGGAAGGAAGAAAGGAAGGAAGGAAGTCTTTAAATATAATTCATACTACACATGACGATACATAACAGGTTTGATGTATTGCAGAATTATCTGAAACTTCCCAATTAATTTTTGACACCCCACCATACGTTCCAGTGTTTTTCAACCTTGAAGGTGTGTGCCCTTCTACTCCCATGGCTGACTGGGGAATTCTGGGAGTTGTAGTCCACCCGTCTCCCAGCCGCCTACCTTGAGAAAGACGGCTACGTACAGGGTCCCTTTCCAAAATACCCAACCGCCAGCTCCTCCTTCCTTCATTCCCCGGAACGACTGAAAATCTCTTCCATTCCCCCCCCCCCGGCATGAAATTATTTGAACAGCCCCTAAAAACGACCCCCGACTTTTCTCCACAGCCAAATCAGCCACCTTCAAAAACCCTTCCTTGGGAAGACAGGTTCCTAGTCCTCAAGGCCACTGCCAGGTGGGAGAACCTGCTCGCTCTTCCCAGTGGCGTCTTTTGAAGCCCTCTCAACCTGCCAGGCGTATCCTAAAGATTCCCCTGCTCTCCCCCCTTGCCTCCTCCCTTTAGGACGGTCGTGCAGGTAGGATACAAGGAGCCCCTTTTCCAAGCCCAGCCCCCTTCCTTCTGCCCCCCCCCCTAAAAGGGAGAACGGCTTGTTTCCAAGATGGGGGATTGTGACGCAAAGCAATTCCAAAGTGTAATCTCCCCCCCCCCCTTTTCTTTTCCTAAGCAACAGGCCAGATGGAGCAGCTATCCTTAGCCGTGTCCCAGGGGGGGAGGGGGCCGGTAGCTCTCCTCTGCCTCTCCCCCCCCCCCAGGGAGGTCAAGGCTGCCAGCCAGGCTGGCCTGGGGGGCTTCTCGGCAGCCCTGGGAGCCCCTTCCCCCCTATTGTGCACCCCTCCACCAGACTGCCTAAAGAGACTGCCCCCCCCCCGTCTTACACAGCCTGGAAAGGTCTCAGAATGCCTGTGACAATGCAAGACTTTGGATCAGACCAGGACAAATCCTTGGATGGTGATGGTTCCTCCTCTTCTTCCTCTTCTTCTTCCTCCTCCTCCTCCTCCTCCTCCTCCTCCTCCTCCTCCTCTTCTTCTTCTTCTTCTTCTTCCTCTTCTTCTTCTTCCTTTTCTCCTTCTTCTTCTCCTTTTCTTCTTCTTCTTTTCTTCTTCTTCTTCCTTTTCTTCTTCTCCTCCTTCTCCTTCTCCTCCTTCTTTTCTTCTTCTTCTTCTTCTTCTTCCTTTTCTTCTTTTTCTTCTTCTTCTTTTTTCTCCTTCTCTTCTTCTTCTTCTTCTTCTTCTTCTTCTTCTTCTTCTTCTTTCTCCTTCTTCTTCTTCTTCTCCTCCTTTTCCTTTTCTTCCTCCTACTCCTTCTTCTTCTCCTCTTTTTCCTCCTCCTCCTCCTCCTCCTCCTCCTTCTTCTCCTTTTCCTCCTCCTTCTTCTTCTCCTCCTCCTTTTCCTCTTTCTCCTTCTCCTCTTCTTCTATTTCTTTTTCTCCTTTTCTCCTTTTTCTTCTTCTTCTACTTCTCTTCTTCTTCTTCTCCTCCTCCTCCTGCTTTCTTCCTTTCTCCTCCTCTTCTTCCTCTTCCTCCTCTTTTCTTCTTCTTCTTTTCTCCTCCTCCTCCTCCTCCTCCTCCTCCTCCTCCTCCTCCTCGTCTTCTTCTCCTCCTCCCCCTCCTTCTCCTCCTCCTCCTCTGTGGAAACAACCCCCTTGTTCCCTGGTGGAACCCCATATCCAGCTCGACTTGAACAGGAAGTTGGACTAGATGACCTCCAAGGTATCTTCCAACATCATCATTATCATCATCATTATTATTACTGCAACTGAGCCCAAAACGTACGTTGCTCTGCAAGGCAAGCGAGGTTTGCCCCACTTTACGACCGTTGTTAAGGGGGTCGCCGCGGTCGTTCAGCGAGTCGCACGGGTTCCCGAGTGAACCTGCCTTCCCCCGTTGACTCAGCTTGT